GTCACACACACATATATATAGTCATATAAAAGGGTTTGTGGGTATCCTTGGAGATTAGGGAGCAGTTGAAATGTACCAGAAAACAGGACACAATCAATTACAGATTCGCTTGGCTGCGCTTCGACTGCTTTTGCCAGCCATTCATCAATTAAAAAGGGGATCCACAGCAGAATGCTTAATGGCATTCGGTCAATGGATTATCCTGCGGCCCAATGAATTATCCGGCGTCTCGTCTCGTCTGGCTAAAATGCGTCAAAAGCGTTTTCAAATGAGCCTTTTAATGGGTTTACGATTTTACCCATGCTTCCCCGCGCTCCCTCTCCCTTACTCACTCTCTCTCTCTCTCTCAATGACCCGAAGAGTTTTCGCATATTCCCCGAATTGGGCGTTGGCGTTGTCCTTTCGCGCTCTTTGATTAATTTATTTTTGGCCGGATTTCAGTTTGTTATTGCTATTGACATTAGGTTGCTACAGAGGGGAAGGGGGAGGGGATGGAGCGTTGCTGCCGCAGCTGCCGCACATATTGAGCAGCTTCGCTGTCACTGTGTAAATTTTATTCCAGGTCATTTTAAAGCCGCAGCCCCTGCCCCGCCCCTTTGCTGTGGTCAAGCTGTCGTCGCCGGACGGACAGGCTGTTGACTGAAACAGTTGGACGAGTTGCCAGAGATGAAAGCAGTTAATAAAGGGTGTTCCCTCTAGCGCGTTTACGCATAGAGGCCATAATCCATGGCAGAGTTGGGGTATTCCCTCTAGCGCTGCATATGGAATATTCCCTGTTGCTCATAGAACAAACGAAATAGCGGTACTTCTTTTAGCGTCAAATAATGGGAGCATTGCGCTTTTCCCCCCAGCGCCATGGAATTGTGTTTTTTGGTTTTTGTGGTTCGAGCGCAACAATTCTGAAAATGCGCTCGCATAGCTGTTAAGGTTTTGGATTACGAATCGCTGTTCGATTGTTAAACCAATCAATGAAGTGGCTGGAATGCGAGTGAGCGAGCAGAAAAAAAAAACTAAGAACAATTGGGCGAAATGCATTTTGAACGAGAGCATAGAAGTAGGCTGAAACTTTAAATGAGATGAAAAAGGTTATGAATAGAGGCATTCGTAAATAAAATATTGTAAAAATATATTAATATAAAATATATTCATATAAATAAATTTGAAGAATATTTTGCTTTTAATTTTTAATATATGTACTATATCAAATTATTTCTTTATTTTTTGGACCAAATTTTTAAAATTCAATTTACCCTTAAAAACGAATTATTTCACTGTGGAATTTTAAGGTTGATCGTTTATGCATATAGAAACATTTAATTTTATTAAATTCTATACACGTAAAGGTTCGTGTTTATTTAATTTGAATTCCTTATATCAACCAACTGTTATACATATTGCATATAATGTTTATTTGTATTGCATTATTTTGTATTGTATATATTTATATTATATGTATGTATAACTATTTATTTCTAAATAAAATATAATTAGTATATAAGTTTGTTAAACAGAATCAAGAAATATAACTTTAGTACTAAAATTTCATTTTATACACACAAATTTAATCATTTTTAATATATGTATATAATATATATATTATAATGATAAAATATATTTTTATATGAAAAGTTTTAATATGATAAAGCAAAAATTAAGTAAAGCTCTAACAATAATAATGTCAATTTTACAATATTCAACCTAATCATTTTCATTAGCGGAAAGCATTTAAAAACTACAAATTTAATCTCGCAAATTAATTATTTATGAGTTTACTTTCAATCTCAAGTCTAGGGCATATCAACTACCTTCAATATCGTTTACACAACAAACTAATTGCCTACACAACAGAAAATAAGCCCGAATCTCTTTCTTTCCCTTTTTTTTCGGTCTCAATCTCAAGTGCGGAACTCAACAAGCTGCGATATTTCGCACGCAGCTCTCTTTCTCTCTCTCCCTCACTCTGTGTGAAAAGAAAAAAGGTATTTAAGACATGGAATTGCAGACGAATGATGAGAAATTCACAAACAGACATACAGAAACAAGCTCAGACAATATAGAGAACGAAAGGCAAAAAGAGACGAACAAAAGCAAACACAGCGTATCTAACAGCTACATAGATGGATATGTATCCGTCAGATACTCGCAGCACGGCAAAAGTGTGAATTATCCTGCCTCAAAGTATTTAATGCGCTTTACACACGGCAAACAAGGAAGGGGCTGAGCCCAGGCAAAAGGACACACAGCCAGCCTTACACACACACACACACACTCGAAAAACACTTGAGCTTGAGCAAACAAGCAATGAGAGCAATTGAAAGATATACATATATATTTTATATTAAAAATAGAAATCGAATGGATGGAGGCAAAAAGAACATCAGCTACAACAATAACAACAACAACAACGACAAGAATAATAAAAAAAACAACCAAAACAGCTGAACAGCTAAACTCTTCAGTTAGCCGCAAAGTAAATGCTCTAAATTGAGATGGAGAAAATGCTTAAATATACGTATAGGAAAAATAACAAAAATAAAATGGCCAAAAAGATTTATTAAAATCTGTAATATTAAATATTAAAAAAAAAAAATTAATAAATAAATAAGAAAAATTATTTGTATCGCATCATTAAAATTTTATCAAGAACTCGTATCTTTGTAAAAAAAATAATTATAAGAAATAACAAAAGTAAAGAGATTTAGTGAGGTCTGCAAAAATAAATATTTTTATATTTATATATAAATTTAAAAAATATATACAAAACTTAGGCAAATAAATTAATTAACATAATAATTTGCATCCCATACTAAAAAACACCGAAAGTTCCTATCATTATTAATGAAAAGAAAAAAAATGTAGAACGTTGATTTGAACTGAAAACGAATTGAAAATCATTTATTCTGTATTAATTTTTTCATATTCTAATCTTAAAAAAAAAAAAAAAAAACAATAAAAACTTTTATTACACTTTCATAAAAATAAAATGATGATTGACAGCAAAAGCCAATTATTGTTTAGTAGAACTTTGCCATATCACGTTTTTTTTATGAGCTTAATTTTCAAGATAAAATTACTAAGATATCATTATGTTCGCTGATAAGAAGAAATATCCAGCAATAATCATGATCGATCTATTCTAGGAATTAGAAGCGTTACATTCGCCAGCACATATTGCATAATACCCTGAGCACAGAGGGTATGCAGAGCACAAGAATAATAACAACAATAATATTAAAGGCATTTGATCATTACTCATAAAAACAAACAGCGAATGATGTGAAAGGAGACGCAGGCCAGGAGGAGGAGGGGTAGAGAAAGAAAAAGAGGTAAACAGTTGAGAAGGCAAAGCAAGACAATGACGAAGCTGATGATGCGGCCGATAATGATGACGATAATCATAATGAAGCTGATGATGGAGGAGCCAAGAAAATTAATTATACAACGTGAAAATGCGCTGAAATGCATATTATCAAAGGCGAAGCAGGCAGGGGGCCGAGTGTTGAGGGAGGGGGAGAGGGAATGGGCGAGGGGGTGAGGGCGTGAGATTTATTAAGCGTTACCACAATTTTCGGCTATTGGAATCATGAGCCATAAGCAGGCATTACAAATTGCATTGCATTGAGAAAAATGGGAAAACTGGTTTTTCCCAAATACACAGCACGAAGAAGACAACGCAAAAGGCAAAAAAGAAAATAGTGGGAGAGATAGAGTGAGAGAGAAGGGAAGAGGAGTTTCTTCCTTCTATGAGCTTAGTGAGTTTTACCTGCTCAGTCAGGCAGGTAGGCACAGCCAGACACAGGGCGACTCGAGTCACTTGAAGGACGCCCCGTGGCTCCGACATGGTGGTTGAAACTAATTCCACTACGCAACAGGATATGCAGCGCTCCTTATGTTTTACTTCTTCTTCGTCTCCTTTTTTGTTTTTTGGGTAAAGGAGCTGAGCGAATTGGGTTCAAATGAAGACATAAAAAACATTTGACCCAAATGCAAGGTTAAGGAATACGACGAATATAACGGCATACAATGTCCTTAGATATGGTGTGAAAGGGAAAATAAAGCAAAAATATTGCGGCAGTTAGTCAACAAAAACGGAGAACTGTTATGGCTGAAATTCCATAGAATAGCAGATAAAGATCAGTAAAAACGTTTCGTAAATCAAAAATCGATAAGCTAGAACTATCAGATGAAGCTCTGAAAAAACATGATGTCGAAATATAGCAAGCACAATAATCTACCTATCTATGAGGATCAGTAATACATGAAAAAAAATTCCATAAAATAGTTCTAGAGGAAATTAATCATTTTTCGCTAGCAATAATTATTATATATTTTGTTATTCTATATCAATATTTGTTATTTTATTTATTATTTAATAGTTTATTTATATTTATTAATTTAAAGTTGTCATAGAAAAAAAAAATGAAATTGTTTTTATTGAAATAGGAAATTTAAGCTTTAATTTCTAGACTTCTTCAGAGTTTTGCGGACACTACTTTGACAACATTTATGGAACTAATTTTAAAAATTCTTTTAACACTGAAAATTAAAAAATAAATAATTATTTCTATAAAAGTCATCCTAGCATTGAAATATAATGTTCTATATATTATTATATTAAATATTTTTAATATAAACTAATTCTATATATTTCTGCAATATATTTATGTTTTTCATTCTGTATTGTGATTTATTTTCCATATACACTATATTCTTGCTGAAGTTAGTTTTCTTATGATATGCAATTCCCTTAGATCGTTTTTATACTAAGATCACTTTATTAGCATTATTTCTATATAATTCGCTCTTTTCCTCAACTCATTGTCTGATTTTCATTTAATTTAGCTGCTATATCATAATTTTTCGAGTTATATAGATCACTTCATATATTGTTTCTAATTATGCCTCTATTCTACATATTCCTTAAATCATTTTTTCATTTTACTTATAATACCTTTTCACTTTCTAGATTGTCTAGATTATTATCAATGAAATATTCTTACCTTTCCGCCCACTTTCAGTTCGTAGCCCATGCCGAGCGGCGTCTTCAGCTGGACGGGGCACACAAATCCGATATTTCGATGGGGGCTATCGACGCTGATCTGGTGCTTGCGCGTCGTCACTTTGGGTGCACTGCGCGTGGGGGCGGGCGTGGAGGCGGAGGAGGTGGTATTCTCGGCCACACATAGATCCTCGCCGCCATGCACGGGAAACTTGGAGCATTCCAGATTCTCGGGCCAATTGAAATTGTAGGTTTTCATGAGATTCTCACAAACGCGCGCCGATTCGCAGAGCGAGCGACAAGGCGGAATTGGACGCTCCAATATGGTGCAGACGGGCACGTATAGCGAGCAGAGGAACAGCTGCAGATCGGCGCTGCAGCCGATCTTGACGAGCGGCGCAAACTGATGCACCTCCAGGCCCGCCTCCTCCTGCTTGGTGTGGCCGATCAGATTCGGCATTATCGTCATGTTGTAGGGTATATTCTTGCATATGGAAATTGTGATCGGCTCGCAGCGATTGTGATGCGGAAAGCCGTCCAAGGAGCTGCTGCCGGCCAGGTCGGAGCGATAATATGCGCTGGCATCCAAAGGCGTTTGATCGTAACGCTGCACAGCTTGCAGCAGCGCCGGCAGCGACAGCGACACCAGCAACAGCAGCAGCGGCGGCAGCATTTTTCGATTTGCACTCATTTCTATTGGCAGCAAAATTTGAAATTTGTGAATTTGCCTGCGATTTTCTTTTGCTTTGAGTAAATCTTCGCTTTGCTGAATTCTTAAAACTCACTCATTTTGACAAAACACACGCGCACACACAGACACCGTAGCTGGATTAGCGGTAAATATTTACTTATTTTATTTCAATCACGCACTCAAACAAATAACCGCTATTTAGACTTGGCATAACACAAAGGCTTATTTCATCTCAATTTCTATTTTATTTTCAATTTCAATTGCATTTATTCTTTTTTATTTTTATTTTATTACCACAACACTTAATATTTCGGCGTTTTTGTTTTTGCCGCACAAAAGTACCGTATGCAGGCAGCAGAAGTTTACGTAAAACGCGCGAAACAACGTTAGGGATTACATCAAAACGAGATATTCAACCGAGAGCACAACCGAGCGGCAACGCAGACGCTGACAAACTAACCATTGCATGGAGCGCCGTTCCATGGTGCCAGAGTGTGGGAGAGAGCAGCAGGTCTTTGATGGTTTTGGTGGTGGTGTTTGGTGGGCGAGCGTGAGCACGAGCGAGAGCATCGCTGAGCCGAACATGCAACAGCAGCGCTGTTACAGCAGCCGTCGTGTCGTCACTTGTTTGCATGGCTTATGCTCAGCTTGCTGAATATGTGTTCTCCCGCTCTCTCTTTCTCTCTCTCTCTGTATTCAGCAATGTATGTTGCTTGGAGCGACCTTGAATTTGGCGCTCAATGCAGTTGGGGAGAGCGTAAGATAATGAGAGAGAAAGAGAGAGAGAGCGCGCCAACTAAAACAGGGCTGTTAAACGTTTTTGTTTTGGATGATGTTGCGGCGCGAACAGCGACAGCGACAGCAGCTGCGGCGGCAGCAGCTTGAGCTCCTGTTGATTGAGTTAAGTATCAACAAATGGTTAAGAGCCGGCGGTTATCAAATTAATTAAAAACACAAATTTAATAAAGATAATAAAAATTAGCCACGAATATAGAGTTCGTACAACTGCTATATTCATTAGCATAGAGCATCAATCTTAATCATTTACAGTTAATATTTGCTCAGCCGCTGCCGTTATTTCTCTTTGCATTTACTTTCATTGCAAAGGCAAAATAACACAAACAAATCAACATGTTGGGCGCAGTGAACTCTGGACTGAATGTATTTCCGTAATTGTTCGGCTCGCATATTTGCACGACTAATGCGACAATTTATATCCATCTCTGTCTATTGCTATTTCTCAATTCCCCCCTCATTTCATTCAGCTCATTCAGTTTTTGTTCGAGACTTTCTTTTGCACTACACTTGAACTTAATTAAGTCATTAACTTGCGCTTAATCTGCGCTTAGCATGGCAACAATTGCTCACAAAAACCAACTCAAACAAACTTCGCATATCTAAGGAATTTCTGCCTGCCAAGTGGAAGGGGGACAGCCAATGAACTGTTTATATTGACAATAATGATGACATTAGAGGAAGCTTTGTCTTTGTCTTTGGATTTGTCACCTGCAGCACGCTGCGCGGCCCGATCGCAGCTCAGAATGCATTCGCTCAAAGTTTAACATATTTTGACTCACACACACACACACACACACACAATACACACGTATAGGCATCTTTTCTGCTTGTTTTCCTCTGTCAGCTCTCTCACACAATATGTCCCTTCTACGCTCTCTTTCTCTCTCTGCCTCTCTTTCGCTCTCGTGTGGGCTGTAAACAAGTGTTACCGGTTTAGCCGGCGTTGTTCCTTCTGAGCCGCTGTGGCTTCTCTTGTCTGCGTCGCCATCGTCGGCTTGTTTAATAAAAAGCGCCAAAGTTGAGGCAGCATAAAAAGACTTTTCATTGTTGTTGCTCAGCGACGTCGACGGCGCTGCTGCTGCTGCTGCCGCTATTGCCGCTACTGCTGCCTTTGCCTTTTGACTTTGCTTTGCTATTGTTTTTGTTGCTTTCCGTTGGCGCTCGTTTTATGTTTACAAGTGAACGAACTTTGACGCCGCCGCTCAGCTGCTGCTCCTCACTCTCTCGCTGCCTGTCTCTCTCTTTCTCTGTCGCTCACACACTGACAATGTTAGAAAGTGTTTGTTGTTGTGTTCTCCGTGTGTCTTTTAGTATTTGTTTCGCATGTCATTTTATGTAATTAAATTGAAATTGCCTTCAAACTGTAGAGCATATGAAGAGTAAAGATTTGATAGCAGATAGCGAAAGTTAAATTGAATATTTTTCTCTTGTTGAAGTAAATAAGTGGTCATAATGAGGGGTATTATTATGTGATATTTAATAGTTCTACTTACACCTTCGGAAATGTTTACATGACAATAGGGAAGATCTTTCTAATTATGATACACATCTTAAGTGGATGCGTGAGCATGATTAATCTATTGTCTTTTTTTTTTGATTTTTTTTTTTTTTTTTTTTTTAAGATACCAAAATCTTCTATTATTATTATTTTTTTTTTAAATTATTAATAAAATACACGGTTTTCTAAATTTTTATATTTTTAGAAAATTAATTTTTTGTATAATATGAATAGTATTAAAATATTTATTTTATTTTTATTACAAAATCATTTATAAATTTTATTATATATTTTAATATTTTATTTTCAGCTTAAAATACTTCTTTTTATATTTAATTATTTATTTCAATTTATGTCTATTTTTTTTTTTAATATTTTATATATTTTATTGCACATTATATTAAATTTTTATACATGTATTAATATTTCATTTTTAATATGTTACCAAAAATTAATTTCAGCTCTATAAAAAAAAATCGCAATTGTCTATTTCTTTCATATGCTTCGAACGCTCTTCTTAGCTCTCTGCTCGTCTATTGTTAACCCTTAACGTTCAACCTGTTTTTAGCTACATAAATAAGCCGTTATAAGCTACACTCGAACCGGTAGCAAGAAGGAAACACAACCTCATTTGTAGCTACATAATACGAAAATCAATCCACATAACTTTTGGCGAGCATTTTTGTTGGGCCCCGTAAGCAGGGGAAGATAAACAAGCTACCAAACATGGCGTCCAAATTAGAAAGGGTTTAGCTAAAGCAACTCATATGTGCGTGGTTTAGCTGGGCTAATGCAAAAGGGACTTGGGTCCCAAGTCAAAAGGGCTTTGGCTACGCAGCTAACTGCAAGTATTTACATTTGTCTGACCCCCAAAGCGAAAGCCAACTCAAAAGCAAATCCATTTCTTAGCCGACCATCCACCCCACTCAAAAAACATCTTCGAATTCGCCTTCTTTGGTCACATTAGTTGACCAGTTCTACAACCCTCTGAAAAAGTCATGTGGCAGTCGAAACTTTTTGTAACTGCTCCACCAACCCTCAGCCCCCCTCCCCCTTTGCAGCTCGATGCGAAATGTCAACTTTGGAAAACCTTAGCCACAGCGTCAGCCTCAGCCGCAGTCATAACAAACTAATTAGATGTAAGAGCTCACTCGCCCTCTCTCGCTCTCGCCCAGGGGCTAACTGCTTGTAGTGCTGGTTGGGGGTAGTTGAGATGTTGCTGTTGTTGTTGTTGTAAGCCCTCGGGCGAATTTCTTGATTAAAAGTTTACGTTTTGTCTGCATTTGCCAGCGCCATTTTTACAGCTCATTTGTTGCTATTTGCGCTGAGCTCTCTCGCCCTCACCCTTAGCAGCCGCTAGCCTGGCCCTAACCCCCACCCCTCGCCCAATACAAAATAAACCAAAGTTTGGTCGACTTACATAAATAATGCATTATTTACTTAAAACAGCCAAAGGCCAAAAGCTCAATTAAATTTTTGAAAAATGACCAACAACTTTTACCCTGAAGAAAGAGAGAGAGAGAGAGAGAGAGAGCATTATGGGTTACAGCAAATTCGTTCATAGGGCTAGGCTGCTCGCCCTGTTTGCATTGCATTGGCCTGGTCCATCAATCAACGTAAAGCGCTGCAATGTCCATCAAACTAGGCTCGTTACAAGTGTCCTGGCAAGCGGAATGTCCTGCAAACAGGATGGCACAGCAAAAAAATAAACAAGCAATAGGGGTAGTCCCACTCGAATACTCTGCAAAAGTAGCAGAACGTGAGCCATGAACCATAAAGTTATCAAGAACTTGGAATGGCAAAATGATATTTGCTAAACTTGATTTTGTTCTCTCTGAAATTATACAACATTTCTGTGGAGGGTTTAAATTTGGAATCAGTTTTAAATTGATGTGGAACTAGTTATTTATATGGAACTAGATTTGACAATAATTAGTTTTCATTATTTTTATTTCATACTCTCCACACGAGCATTTAATTATGAGATATTTGGTAAGCAGTCATGACGCTTGAGTTCATATTGAACTAGTTCTTATTACTTTTATTTCAGTAAATCCTTAAGGATTCTCTGAATTTATTTTAAGCATACTTAGATCAAAATATATTTTTTAGTAAGGTTTTGAAGCATACTGGACTATTTTCGATTTTAAACTAGTTCCTATTATTTGTACATGCAAATAGAATTTAGAAATTTAAATGTATTAAATTTAAAGTGAATTTTATTTTATTAATTAATAAAAATTATTATATTTAAATTTTATAATAATGGCTTACATTGTACGCCAAATGTTAAATATATTCATTAGTTCATAGTGAACTAGTTCATTAGCTGAACTAGTTCTTTAGCTAAAATTAATACCATTTAATACATTAAATAATACTATTTTTTTTTATAATTAAATATTTATATAAATATATATATATTGAAAATTGAAATAGAAAATGGAATTAAATAATTTAATGTAATAGATACATACATAAATAATAATACAAACAATATATTAAATATTAGTTATTAAAAGTTAAATAAAAAATTCCAGTAGAACTGGTTCTTAAAATGTGTATTTTAACTGAAGCAACAATCATTGGAATTTTCGGATTGTTCTTTGATATGAGTTCCAAACTATTTCAAATATTTCTTAGGTTATATATATATAATTGGTTGGTATTTCTTGACTTTTCTTGAACTATTTTTAAACTATTTAATAACTAAAAATCTAAAATTTGCAGAGCTCTCAAATAAGTCATGATAATTTGAATATGAATCCAATTAACTCTTTAATTACACTTTTAAAAACTCTGTTAAAAGAAACTTCAATAGTTAATAAGATCAGCTAACGGTAAAGAAGTCTTTTGAACTTGGCTCGATTCCTACATACATATATCTGAGATGAAATCAAAGATATTCAAATCGAATCAGAGCATTATTCGTAATGCTCAAGGCTCACAGAGTGAGGGGCAGAGCCTGGACTATAAATAATTGCATTTGAAATTTCGCATTCAGGTGAAGTTGAGCAAAGGCAGCAAGAGGTTGGGGGGAGGGTGTGGGGTGAGGGACTCGCCAGTTGGTAACATGCTGTCTAGGCCTTGGCTATTCCCGACAGAGTTCACATGCGGAGTCGCATTTGCAATCGCGTCGAGTTGCGGAAATTTGCAATTCGCTGCCTC